GGGAAGCGTGCTTCAGAGAAGACGCCGACAGGGGAGCTGGCGAACGGGGAGCGCATGTCAGAGGAGCCGCCGACAGGGGAGCCGGCGAATGGGGAGCGCGTTTCAGAGGAGCCGCCGGCAGGGGAGCCGTCGAACGAGGAGCTCGCTTCAGAGGAGCGGATGAGAGGGGAGAAGTTCGACGAAGGCACCTCGAGCGACGTTGTTGAAGTCATCGGTGGCGATGAAGGGGAGCTGTCGGCCGGGGAGCAGTCCAGCGACAGCGACGTGGTGGAAGTCTCTGCCGACAAGCCCGCAGTTCGACGTTCAACCCGCTCTAACTTTGGCAAGCCTCGCGAAAAGCTGAGCTACCATGCTTACCTGCCGCCGACCTCCTACAGCACTCTGCTCGACGATGCGCAGTTCGACGTCGACGTGCCCGAGCTCGACCCCGATATGCACGCTGACCCGGAGCACTGTTGGGACATCGCCAACATGACGGTGAAGGAGGCGTTGGCGAGCTGGAAGGGCAAGGCGGTGAAAGCGGCGATGGACGAGGAGATTCGAAGTCTCATCACCAACGGCACTTGGGAGCTGGTGGAGCGCCCGCGCGGCGTCAATGTCATGAAGAACCGCTGGGTTCTGACGACGAAGTATCACGTTGATGACACGGTCGCCCGCGAAAAAGCCCGCCTGGTGGTGAAGGGCTTTACGCAGGTCTACGGAGCTGATTACGAAGAGACGTATGCACCGGTCGGGAGCTACGTCATGCTGCGAATTTGGCGGCGGCCCCGAAACTCTGAAACTGGTCGGCTATGCGGACGCGGACGACGCTGGCGACAAGCAGACTCGCATCAGCACGAGTGGCTACGTTTTCACCTTCGGCGGCGCGGCTGTCTCCTTGACGAGCCAACGCATCAAGTGCGTAACTCTGTCCTCTACGGAGTCGGAGTACATCGCGGCCACTGAAGCTGGCAAGGAGGCTCGTTGACTTCGATTCCTCCTCGCCGAGTTCCAGCTCCTCGACCCTGGGACGCCGACTACTCTGAACGCGGATAATCAGTCCGCCATCGCAGTCGCTGAGGGCTTGGGGCTGAAGGGCAACCTCAAGCACATGGAGCGGCGCTATGCTTGGCTGCAGCAGATGGTGAAGCGCAAGAAGATTGCGCTGGAATACATCCCAACATCTGAGCAGCCGGCGGACTTCCTTACAAAAGGGCTGCACTTTCCGGCCTTCAACCGGTGCTCTATCGCGGTCGGCCAGGTTCGCCTTGCCAAAGTCGGCGACGACGACGACGTGCAGCAGTAGGTGTCATGTCCTCTAACGTGGCTGGTGCGGTGATCGGCGTGCGGGAGTGTGCACGCCAGAGAAATATCCCCTTGTGCACACTCCCGCACGCCGATCTTGTGTGCACGCCAGAGAAATAGGTTATGGGTGGATCTTGTGTGTGGGGGCCCAAGCTTGAGCTGGGCAGGGGAGTGTCGGAGTGAATGGCCCCGCCCTCGCTTGGGCACATGCATTCTCTGCGACGACGTGGTGAATTCGACGAAGTGATCGTCGCGTTGGATCAGCCCGTCCTCTGAACCAGCCAGTGGTTTTCGAGGAGGTTGTCCTCTGATTCACCAGCCCATCAACGAGCTCTGGTCGACGGGGTGCTGTTCAACGAGCTCGTCTTCTGATCTGCTTCTGGGTCGCGCGATCTCTGACGGACGGGGTGCTTTTCGAGGAGCCCCGTTCTCTAATCGAAGGGCGTTGTTCGGCGAGTCTCATCTCGGCGGACTGGCTGGCCGAATTCGCGCGACTGCGAAACTCTGCAAGGGCATGCGAAATTCGCTCAGGTGGCTCTTAGCAAAATTCTACCTGCGGAATGGCATCACGTGCTCGACGGTGGACACCTGACGAAACCGTTGGAGCGTTTTCTACCTGGCACCTGCGCAATGTCTCTGACGGTGCAACCGTCTACCTGCACATACTTGGCAGGTGCACACCTGCGCAGATATTCACCTGCGAATGCAGTGCTGGCAGGCTGCCCTGTTGCAGCGCTGGCATCTCGCCCTTCTGCTACGCTGGCAGGCCGCCCTGTTTCAGCGTTGGCGAACCGCTCTGATGCATTGCTGGCAATTCGCCTTGCAGAATGCTTGCTAAGGATTGCAATGCCATTCCAGTGATATCACTTGCATGCTTTTCCGTACTCTAATTCTCAATTTTCAATGTTCTTTCAATTTCCTCAGTGGAAACTCTTGCCAAATTTCTTAGTGGTCACAGCAAGTAGTAAGAACTCTGATAGAACGCTACTAGAGGGCTACGATCACCCACACAACTCCGTGCTCTCCTTCGTAGTCCACTCCCGTTGTAGGGTGACTCTCCGCACCGTCGACCTGCAGTTCGACCGGGAGGTCGACGGAGCAGTCCGTCGACCTGACAAGTGAGCAGCGGTCGACGAGGGGAGCTCGGCAACAACCGCTGACGGTTCTGGTCGATGGAAGGGGTCCGTTGACCAGGGGGTAGCTCGACGAGAACTGTGGCCGACTGGGGGCGCCTGTTGGTCGACCAGAGGGAACTGGTGGTCGACCAGAGGCAGTGGTGGTCGACCGAAAGCACCTTGTGGTCGACCGGGTAACCTGCTCGACGAACTCTGCGAAGGGACGCGAATGTCGTCGAGGTCGCGATGGCGCAGGCGACTGCGGGCTGGTATCCCGAAGTCAATGTGGCTCGTCGGGCGCAGACAACAGCCGACGGATGCCCAAGGAGGCAAGTCGGGCCAATCGTCTGCGCGCACCTGCGAGCGTGCGCACTGCTGTCTTCTACGGGGCAATGCTGGACAACCGCTCTGCTGCAGTGTTGGCACGCCGTCGACCTGCTCTGTTGGCAGGTCGCCTTTCCGCAGTGCTGGCGCGGCTCCTCTACGCAACGCTGGCAGGCGGTCAACCAAGCTGTGCTGGCGGTCGACCAGGCTAGCTGCAGGATTGCTAGGTGCCTGATGTAGTCATTGTTGTCATTGCTTGTTCTATCATTCTGGAATTCGACTATGCCTAGTGGAAACTCTTGCCGATTTCTCCCGTGAATGCGCAAGTACTAAGGAACTAAGCAAAGCTACGATCACCTCTAGTAGTTCGTGCCAACCCCGTAGTCTAGCTCACTACCGTTGTAGAGTGACTCTCCGCATGGTGCGGTGAGCGTGGACGGCCCCGCAAATACCTTCAGATAAGAGCCGACTTTTGCACCTACTAAGTCGTTCGTAGGCCGGCAGCAGCGATAGTCACCATGGTCGACCCCGTAGCTGATGCGGGTGTAGCGGACACCTTGGAGACACGCTTGGCTGATGCGAGGAAACGCCACGCAAATGGCGAGTACGGGACAATCCCCTTGCTGATCGTCGAGTTGGGCATCCGGTCGCAGTGGGCGACGGAACACCCTTCCCGTCCTGCATCTCGTCGACCGGTGCGCAACGAGGGTGGCGTCGACGACGAGGTCGATCAAGGTCGACGGTGGTGTCGGCGGAATCCAGGCGCGAGTGCAGCGGTCGACGGTGGCTGCAGGCAGCTCGCGTGTCGACGTTGATGTTTGACGTCGCTCTCCTCTACGAAGCGGTGGAGGGCTCTCGGCGACGTCGCATGTGACTACAAGCGGGATTGCACAAGCGTATGGCTACTTCAAGTTCTCGCCGGATCGGATCTCCATCGCACCGCTGCAAGGTGAACGGGACCTCATCACCTGGAGGGAGTCGATCGAACCTCAGCTGGAGGTCGCTGGGCTGAAGGGCTTCGCCGACGGCACCGTGCCGATTCCGCCCGAGGAGGACGTCGAGCTGCGCGGGGAGTTTCGTTCTGCTCATCTGCTCACCTTTATGGTCATCTCGAGGTGCTGCTTGCCGGTGGTGCAACTAGCGCTCAGGAGCTGTCGAAAGCGACTGGATGCTGGTCACTAGGCATGGCACTTCATCATGTCGACGTACCAGGCCAGGGACGACCTGTACATCGGACAGCTGGAGGAGAAGATGACTCACATTCGTATGGGTGAGCAGGAGTCGGCGACGGACTACTGCAACCGAGCTCGACGGATCCTAGCTGAGATGAGGATGGCGGGCGCCGAATACTCGACGTCGTCCTACATCACCCACGTCCTCAAGGGCCTGCCACGCAGCTACAACTCCATGAAGAGGTTTACGATGGTGCCCGGCACACATGAGTCCCTCGACGAGGACTCCCTCACCAGCTACATCCTCCAGGATGAGGCGATGCAGGAGGAAGAGCAGCCCACGGAGTTCCTTCCGCAGGCGAGTTACGCTGCACCAACGAAGCCGAATCGTCAGCAAGAGCAGCGCGGGAAGCCGGACGGAGGTGGTAGCGGAGGTGGGCGGTCGACGAAGGACGTCGACGAGAAGAGGTCGACGCGGGACAAGGGCCGACGAGGTGGTGGTCGACGGCGAGAGTGCTGGATCTGCGATCACCCCGACCATCTCTCCTTCGAGTGCCCCGACCGCTATGACAGCGACGAGGACGACAACAAGGGAGGCCGCGGTCGATCGGCCAGTCGTCGTCCTCGTCGAGATGAAAAACCGCGCAAGGAGAAGCAGACGTCAAAGAAGACGTCGTCGACGAAGGACATCGACAACTCCAGCGGCAAGGGCCGAGGCGACGGGGATGCGTCGTGCTCGATGGTCGGCGTGGTGGTGCCGACGGTCTCGCTGGTGCCGAAGGCTGGCGAGGACTACTAGGCGGTGGCGGCAGCTGTGCAGGCCAACCCAATGGCGGTGCTGCTCGACAGCGGGTGCTCCCACCACCTGATGGGGACAAAGGCGGTCTTCATCAACATGGCGCCGAGCGACGGAGTGAAGCACGTACGTGGATTCGATGGGGCGCTGCAGCCTGTCGCGGGTCGCGGAACCGTCGCTCTACAAGGGGAGGACAGGAAGCAGGTCCTCATTCCCGACGTGCTCTACGTTCCGGGCGTACAGGCGAACCTGCTGTCAGCTGGCCAACTGAAGGAGAGCGGAGTGCTGCTGCAGGGCGATGGCGACGAGATGCTACTCGTCGCCGCGACCAGGGAGGTGCTTGGTCGAGCACGCTACACCGGACGAGTCCTTTGCACCGACCTTCGCCCCTGCTCGACGCAGTCGCTGTCGACCGAGGTGGTGGCTCTGCGGACGATCGTCTCGATGACGAAGACGACCCCCGATAGGATGCACGCGCGGCTCGCACACGTCAACGTCGACACGATCAAGATCTCGGCGAAGCGTGAAGTTGCTGTTGGGCTCGACATTACGCCATCGACCGAAGCAGACCCGCCGTGTGTCTCGTGCGTCGGAGGAAAGCTGGCGCGGCACACCTTCCACGAGAAGGGCTCGGACGCCGAGGAGGCCCTGGCTGTCGTGCACATTGACTTGTGCGGGCCATTTCGGGTGCTGCCAAGGATGGCAGCTTGTATTTCCTGCTGCTGAAGGATCGCTACACTCGGTTTGTGTGGGTGATGCCGGTCGCCAAGAAGAGTGACGTGCTGCGGGAGTTCCAGAAGTGGCTGGTGCTGGTGGAACGACAGACGAAGAAGTCGGTGCTGTCGCTTCGCTCCGATCGAGGAGGGGAGTTCCTCGGGAAGGCGTTCACCGACTTTGTCGACGAGAAGGGCATCGTCCACGACCTGACGTGCCCCTACACTCCACAGCAGAACGGCATGGCGGAGCGGGAGATGCGCACGATCGTCGAGTCCGTGCGGACGATGCTGCTGCACATGGGCGTGCAGCACCACTGGTGGCACCTAGCTCTTCGACAGGATGTCTGGGTGCGCAACTGCTTGGAGCGGTCGCCAACGCCGCCGGGGACGACTCCGCACCAGCTGCTGACCGGGGCGAAGCCCGACCTTACGCTGACGCGGGTGTGGGGCTGCATGGTGCAGTTCATGATTCCTGAGCAGCAGCGCGGTGGGAAGCTGGCGCCGAAGGCTCGTTGGGGACTTCACCTGGGTGTGTCGCCGAAGAGCAAGGGCTGGGAGGTGCTCGACCTGACCGACAACAAGGTGGTCACGTCGGTCGAGGTGATCTTCTACGAGACGCTGTCGCTGGAGGTGTCGAAGGCGTAGTATGGGCCGGCCTCGGGGCGGACGCAGGCGCACCCGCCGACGGACACCTCGACGGTGACTGTTCCGCTGCTCGCCGAGGTCGACGAGCCTGCGGATGATGATGTTGTGGAGGTTCTTCCACCTCCCCCTGTTCTTGCTCCTCCCTCCCCCGTCGCAGCTCGGTCTGCGTTGACCCTTGTGTCGGCCACCGGTGATGAGGGGAGCCGTGAGGCATCGCCTGTGGCGCCGGCCAGTGGCATCGCCGGCGGTCGACAAGGCGCCAAGCTCATCGACCAGGATGGGAAGCCGTCGACGACAGGGGAGCAGCAGTCAGGGGAGCTGGTCGAACAGGAAGCAGCAGCTGGAGTGCAGTCGACAGGGGAGGAGCAGCCGGAGCGGTCGACAGAGGAGCTGTCGAAATCAGCAGCAGATGAGCAACCGGTCGAAGGGTCAAAGCAGCTGGTCGACGAGGAAGGGGAGCATTCGGCGGGTGAGGAGTCCAACGACAACGACATGGTGGAAGTGCCGATCACGAAGCCTGAGCTGCGACGCACAGGTCGAGCTCGACGGCCGCCGGAGCGGTTGAGCTTCCACGCCTGCCTACCGCCAGCTGCCTTCACCATGGTGTACGACGAGGTCGACGACGACCTGTTGTACGACGATGCCGAGGAGGATGAAGACCTGCCGGAGCTCGACCCTGACGTGCATGCTGACCCCGAACACCGCTCTGACATCGCCACGATGACGGTGAAGGAGGCGCTGTCGAGCTGGAAGGGCGAGGCGGTGAAGGCCGCCATGGAAGAAGAGATCCATAGCCTCATCGGTATGGGGACTTGGGAGCTGGTCGAACGCCCACGCGAGGTCAACATCATGAAGAACCGGTGGGTGCTGACGACCAAGTACCGCATCGACGACACCGTCGAGCGCGAGAAGGCGAGGCTGGTCGTGAAGAGCTTCACGCAGGTGTACGGCGCCGATTACGACGAGACGTACTCGCCGGTGAGCAGCTATGTCACGCTGAGGATCTTCCTCAGCATCGTCGTCGTCCTCGACCTCAACCTGATGCAGCTCGACATAAAGAACGCCTTCCTGCAGAGCAAGCTCGACAGGGTGCTCTACATGTACCAGCCGGACTACTTCGACGATGGGACCGGCCGGGTGTGTAAGCTGCTGAAGAGCCTCTACGGGCTGAAGCAGTCGCTGCTGTTGTGGTACAGGGCTCTCGACAGTGTGTTGCTGGGCGCTGGATGGAAGAAGAGCCAGGTCGACGAGGCGCTCTACTTCAAGGCCGGCGATGACGGAGTGACCTGCTGGGTGCTGGTCTACATCAACGACCTGCTTGCCGCCAGCAGCAGCACCGCGATGCTGAAGGAGCTGAAGGAGCTGCTGGAGGCCGCCTTCGAGTTGCGTGAGATCTCGCCGGTGGTGAAGTACCTTGGGCTGGAGATCGTGCGCGACAGGCCGGCCAGGAAGCTGTGGCTGCACCAGCAGGGCTACGCCAACAAGCTGCGCAGGCGCTTCATCAACGAGGAGCAGGGCGGTCGAGTCCCGAAGACGCCGGTCTCGGTTGACGCCTACGCTCAGCTGACGTTCGACGACGAGGAGGCTCAGGAGCACGAGGAGGAGGAGTACAGGCAGAAGGTCGGCTCGCTGCAATTCGTGGCGACGACGACGAGGCCGGACATCGCGTTCGCTTGCAGCAAGCTGGGGAGCGGCCTCACGGTGAGGAGCGACCAGCATTGGCGCGAGGTCGAACGCTGCCTCGCCTACCTCGCTGACACCCGCGACACCACCCTAGAGTTCGGCGGTGGACCAGAGTCGCTGGAGTTGATCGGCTACGTGGATGCCGACGACGCGGGCGACAAGCAGAACCGGACGAGCACGGGAGGCTATGTGTTTGTCCACGGAGGGGCCGCCGTCTCCTGGTCGAGCTCGCGCATCAAGTGCGCGACATTGTCATCGACCGAGTTGGAGTACGTGGCGGCCACGGATGCCGGCAAGGAGGGGCGTCGACGTCGCTTCCTCCTTGCGGAATTCAAGCTGCTCGACGCTGGGAAGCCGGCCATCCTCCGCGTCGACAACAAGTCGGCAATCACGGTCGCTGAGGGCTTGGGGCTGATGGGCAGCCTCAAGCATATGGAGCGACGCTACGCCTGGCTGCAGCACATGGTGAGGCGCGGGAAATTCGTGCTAAAGTACATCCCGACCACCGAGAAGCCGGCGGACTTCCTGACAAAGGCGCTGCATTTTCCGGCTTTCAACCGGTGTTCTGTCGCCATCGGCCAAGTTCGTCTGTCTGACGTCGGCGACGGCGACGATGAGGTGCAGCAGTAGGTGTCGTGCCCTTCTGCACGGCTGGTGCGGTGACGGCGTGCTGTGTGTGGGGTGCATGCCGAGGACGAGTTTTCTCCGTGGAGTACTGCCGTGTGGGTTGGAGGCCCAAGCGTGAGCGCGGCAGGGGAGTGTTAACGGGAATGGAGTGTTGGCCCCGCCCTCGCTTGGGCAACGCCGACAACTTGGTTGGATGTACGGGAGTAGCAGCTGACCATTCACAGTGGGAGAGCTGCTCGACAGGCATCGTCAAGCTGCAGGGGACCGCTGTGTTGCTGCTGTCGACCAAGGAGCTCGACAGCTGCAACTGACTGATCTGGGCGACGGGTGAGCCGTCGACCAGGAGGGGCAGGTCGACCAGGGGGTCTCCATCGACCTGCAGCTCGACCGGGAGGTCACCGTCGACCTGCACCTCGACCAGGGGGTCCCCGTCAACCTGCAGCTCGACTGGGAGCAGCCCGTTGACCTGCAGTTCGACCGAGAGGTCGACAGAGCAGTCCGTCGACCTGATAAGTGAGTAGCGGTTGACGAGGGGAGCTCGGCGACAACCGCTAACGGTTTTGGTCGACGGAAGGGGTCCGTTGACCAGGGGGTAGCTCGACGGGAGCTGTGATCGACCAGGGGCACCTGTTGGTCGACCAGAGGGACCTGGTGGTCGACCAGAGGCAGTGGTGGTCGACCGAAAGCACCTGGTGGTCGACCGGGTCGACCGGGTAACCTGCTCGACGAACTCTGCGGAGTGACGCGAACGTCGTTGAGGTCGCGGTGGTGCAGGCGACTGCGGGCTGGTATCCTGTAGTCGATCTGGCTCGTCAGGCGCAGACAACAGCCGACGGATGCCCAAGGAGGCAAGTCGGGCCAATCGTCTGCGCGCACCTGCAAGCGTGCGCACTGCTGTGTTCTACGGGGCAACGCTGGACAGCCGCTCTGCTGCAGCGTTGGCACGCCGTCGACCTGCTCTGTTGGCAGGTCGCCTTTCTGCAGTGCTGGCGCGGCTCCTCTACGCAACGCTGGCAGGCGGTCGACCAAGCTGTGCTGGCGGTCGACCAGGCTAGCTGCAGATTTGCTAGGTGCCTGATGTAGTCAGTGTTGTTATTGCTTGAAAAATGATTCTGTGATTTCGACTTTGCGAGTGGAAACTCTTGCCGATTTCTCCCGTGATTGTGCAATCGCAAAGGAACTAGGCAAATCTACGATCACTCATAGTAGTTCGTGCCAACCCCCGTAGTCTAGCTCACTACCGTTGTAGAGTGATTCTCCGCATGGTGCGGTGAGCGTGGATCGAACACGCGACCTTCAGATAGGAGCTGAATTTTGCACCTACTAGGCCGACAGCAACGTTAGTTGCCATGGTCGACCCCGTAGTTGATGCGGGCGTAGCGGACACCTTGGAGGCACGCTTGGCTGACGCGAGAAGACGCCACGCGGATGGCGAGTACAGGACGATCCCCTTGGTGATCACCGAGTTGGGCATCCGATCGCAGTGGGTGACAGAACACCCTTCCCGTCCTGCATCTCCTCGACCAGTGCGCAACGAAGGTGGCGTCGACGACGAGGTCGACGGTGGTGCACGAGTCAGCGACAGCGCAGGAGGCAGAGAGGGGTGCTCAAGGTCGACGTTGGTGTCGACGGGATTTAGGCGCGAGTGCAGCGGTCGACGGTGGCTGCAGGCAGCTCACGTGCCGACGTCGATGGTCGCCGTCTCTCTCCTCTACAAAGCGGTGGAGGGCTCTCGGCGACGACGCACATGACGGCGGGCGGGATTGCACCGGCGTATGGCTACTTCAAGTTCTCGTCGGACCGGATCACCGTGGCACTTCTGCAAGGTCGATGGGACCTTATCACCTGGAGGGAGTCGATAGAACCTCAGCCGGAGGTCACCGGGCTGAAGGGCTTCGCCGACGGCACAGTTCCAATTCCGCCCGTGGTCGATGTCGAGCTGCGCGGGGAGTTTCGTGCGGCTCATTTGCTCACCTTCATGGTCATCTCGAGGTGCTGCTCGCCGGTGGTGTAGCTGGCGCCCAGGAGCTGTCAAGAGCGACTGGATGCTGGTCACCAGGCATGGCACTTCATCCTGTCGACGTACCAGGTCAGGGATGACCTGTACATCGGATAGTTGGAGGAGAAGATGACACACATTCGGATGGGCGAGCAAGAGTCGGCGACGGACTACTCCAACCATGCGCAACGGATCCTGGCTGAGATGCGGATGGTGGGCGCCGAATACTCGACGGCGTCCTACATCACCCACATCGTCAAGGGCCTGCCACACGGCTACAATCTTATAAAGAGGATGATGATGGTGCCCGGCACGCGTGAGTTGCTCGACGAGGACTCCATCACCAGCTACATCCTTCAAGATGAGGCGATGCAGGAGGCCGAACAGCCCACGGAGCTCCTTCCGCAGGCATACTACGCTGCACCGACGAAGCTGAATCAGCAGCAAGGGCAGCGCGGGAAGCCGGGCGGAGGTGGTAGCGGAGGTGGGCGGTTGACGAAGGACGTCGTCGAGAAGAGGTCAACGCGGGACAAGGGCCGTGGAGGTGGTGGTTGACAGCGGGAGTGCTGGATCTGCCACGACCCCGACCACCTTTCCTACGAGTGCCCTGACCGCGACGACAGCGACGAGGACGACACCAAGGGAGGCCGTGGCCGGTCAACCAGCCGTCGCCCCCGTCGAGATGCAAAGTCGTGCAAGGAGAAGCAGACGTCGAAGAAGACGTCGTCGAGAAAGGACGTTGACAGCTCCAGCGGCAAGGGCCGAGGCAACGGGGAGGCGTCGTGCTCGATGGTCGGCGTGGTGGAGCCGACAGTCTCGCTGGCACCGGAGGCTGGTGAGGACTTCTAGGCGGTGGCGGCAGCTGTGCAGGCCAACACGATGGCGGTGCTGCTCGACAGCGGGTGCTCCCACCACCTGATAGGGACGAAGGCGACCTTCGTCGACATGGCGCCGAGCGACGGAGTGAAGCACGTACGTGGATTCAACGTGGCGCTGCAGCCTATCGAGGGTCGCGGAACCGTCGCTCTACAAGGGGAGGCCGTGAAGTAGGTCCTCATCCCCAATGTGCTCTACGTTCCGGGCATCCATGCGAACTTGCTGTCAGCTGGCCAACTGAAGGAGAGCAGCGTGCAGCTGCAGGGCGACGGCGACGAGATGCTGCTCGTCGCCGCGATCGGGGAGGTGCTCGGTCGAGCACGCTACACCGGACGAGTCCTCTACACCGACCTTCGCCCCTGCTCGACGCGGTTGCCGTCGACCGAGGTGGTGGCTCTACGGACGATCGTCGCGGCGACGAAGTCGACCCCCGTTCGGTTGCATGCGAGGCTCGCGCACGTTGGCATCGACACGATCAAGAGCTCGGTGAAGCATGAAGTTGCTGTCGGGCTCGACATCATGCCGTCGACCGGAGCAGATCCGCCGTGTGTCTCGTGCGTCGGAGGAAAGCTGGCGCGGCACACCCCACGACCCACCCATTCTGGAATCCCTCGACAAGAGAGGGGAAACAGTATGGTGGGGGGAGGGTGGGTGGATGTATGGCTTCTTTGGAACATGCACCTTGCTCCGCCTCACTGCACCATTCCCTGCCTATTCCCCCTCTGCCCTCCCCTCTTCCCCTCAATGCTTCGTCATCCCTCATGCAGCTCCCTCTACTTTGTCCTCTCCAACAATCCACCCGTGGAACCATACTCCGACCCCTGCCGCCCCTCTCCCACTCCTCCACATATTACCCCCTGCGCTTCAAATCTCAGGGTAAATTCGGCCTTGACACGTCACAAAAAATACACGTCACAATCACGTGTACTGCTCAGGGCCGGGCTACACCAAATTACACCCAAGTATCAAACATTATCTAAACTTTTCGACGGGTACAGAGCGGTGTAATATATTTATTGACGCAAATTTTTGTGACGTGTCAAGGCCCCAATGTACCCTCAGCAGCATCTCTTCCTGCCCATATTCATTTGCCTGGAGCTGCAGTATGTTCAGTTGCCAGGTTGTGCATTGTCTGCTAGATGGTGGGCAATCCAGAATATTGAAGGTGCTAAAAGGTGATGTTATAGGAAGTGCTTGTTGGCAGCAGTCCTAGCAGCTCACAACAATCCAGAGGCAGGTCGCAGCGAACCATTGCCTCCCCGCACTTGCCCTGCCACTTGCACCAACGCCCCCTATGCCGCTTGGGTCGCAGCGACTCCCCCTCCCACGCTCACTCCAACCACACATGCACTCCTCGCCCCTGCAGGCAGTGCTGGCAGCGCTGCCACCACCTTGGCTGCTGGGGAGACCTGAGCCGCCATGGCTGTTCCTCGACAGACCCACACCGAGGGGAGTGGGGCGACCCACGTGCAGGCGAGGGAGAGAGGGGAGGTGGAGGAGGTGGAGGAGGAGGTGGAGGGAGAGGCGGAGGAGGGGGGCGAGAGGGAGTAGGGCCAGAAACTTGGTCTTTATTTGGAGCTCACTGTAGTTCAAGTCAGCTCCCTCAAGCCGCGTCAACAAGTCGAAGAATTTCTGCACCCCTTCTTCCACAGTTTCATCTTCTTCAATTATTAATGTCGCCATTTGCCGTTCCAACAACACCGCTACCGCCGCTGTTGCAGGAGCATGTACAAACTTGAGAGTAGCCCGTGCCTTTGGTCCCTTCTCTGGTTCACGCTGGAATGGCTTGATGTGACGGATTTGGCTGCTCCCCAACGCTTGCCTTAGTAGGAGATAGCCTTGTGCACTCTTCCGCACCCACGGGCTCTTCTCCGGGTCGTTCTTGGGGCGCTTCTCCGTTCGTTCCATCACCTCCAACAGGTCATAATGGTCGAAGATAATCTCCATTTTGAAGTACCGCTCAACGAAGTTGTCACCGTTGAACTTGTCAAGGCCAAACACTCTAAGCTCATCCCTAGATGGGCCAAGATTTGGTTGCACGAGATCACGGGGCTGGCCTTGTGCTTCGACTTCACCATTGCCTCCAGCACCTCTGCCACCCCTTTCTTCAGGTCCAGCCATCTTTGAA